CCAGAGCAAATGATAAGTTGAACTTTATTTTTGAGTGGAGTAATGTTTTTATTTAGGTAGTTAATTAGGTATCAATATTAACATTTTTATTTGACTCAGAATTTAGCTCTGGAAAACAGTGTCTAATTACTATTATCAGTCAACAGAGTTAGCAAGGGTGCAATTAAGTATAAATTATAGTATAATAGTTAAAGTCAGGTATAGATTTTATATACTTTAAAATAAGTTACCTTAATAAACTATAAATCTACTATAATCTTTTTTAAGCCTGTGGACGATGTATTTTAGATCTGGAACTATAACTGGAAGTTGTAGCAATGTATTTACCACAAGATGTGGTGCTGGCTATTAGCTTGGCTGGCTTCAAAAAGGGTTGGACCTCATAAATGATCAATGGCTAACAGCCTGCGATGACAGTGTGACTGCCTCTGAAGGCCATCTCTTGGGAGATTAGTGGACTTGTGCAGTTGGTTAGCCATTGTGCGAACAGATTGCTGGACTAGTTAGGCCAGAGGTCCGATGCAGCAGGACACTGCTTATGATCTTACATTCACAATTTTATCTTAAATTATTTTAATTCAACTTTTCCTAATTTCTTTCCTATTTTCTTTAGGCTTCAGCAAGAAATATACTACAAAATGAATGATCTTGCTATCAAAAGAATAACAAATGAAATTATCAAATCACCTGAGGATAAACGAGAATATCGTGGGTTAGAACTGGCAAATGGAATCAAAGCAATGCTTATCAGTGATCCCACTACAGACAAATCTTCAGCTACACTTGATGTACACATAGGTATTTAATCAAGTACCTTGCTTTGGTTTTGGTTTTGGTTTTATATATCATAAGGTAATGCACGGTTACAAAGTCGTCTTCTTACTGGACCGAAGTTAGAGTTGTAAGATTGCTTGGAAATTTCACTAACGTTTTTCCACAGGAGTCAGTATTTCAGGTTGGAATTGATTTAGTCAGATTTGTATGTTTACTGGACACAACTTGAAGATGACAACGTTATTTTATAAACTTTTAGATACCAAAGGACCAGTAAGAAATTAGATAAAAGAGTTAAAATAAATAATAGTAGGTTAAGAGAAATGAAAAAGCAAGGATGAAGAAAGTAAAATGGTAATAATAGAGATGGTAATATAATAGTAGTAGTAGTAGTAGAAGACTCAGCATCTTCTGATTGTGTTTGCTGTGGTGTAGAATTTTGCATAGATTTTTCAAACAGCTTGTAGAGACTGGAATGACCACACTAACACTAATGGACTATAGCATGTAGGACTGCAACTTTTCTAAATGTTTTCCTTTTATTTTTATGTAAAATAAAGTCTTGGTAGCTTCTCATGCAGTCTTGGTAAAACCACAGCTTTGTTGAGGATCTTTGGGAGCTCAGATTCACAAAATGGTAAAGCGAATGAATAGAATGCCAATAGTGTGAGTCTTGCAGTTAATGCTACAGAACATGTGTTAAAGAATATCTTGGGGCATATTCTGTTTCTCCACAATACTGCAGCTATTTTGCTTTTCTTGGTGGATGACATACTTAGCTGTATAAAATATTTTTATTTTTTGTACTTAAAAAGCACAAATTATCTTTAAAACCAACATGGAAAAAATGTAAGGTGTGCATTTTTATACATTAATCAAAGTAAGAACACATCAACTAAGCAAAAACAAAAGTCAGAGAAAACAGTCTCTGAGTGGATGTAGGTAAACAAATCTAAGATTATTCCAGACAAAACATTGGCTGAGGAAATCTGATCTAGGTAAAGGAATACAAAAAGCAGTGTATGCAGTTTAGTTCCCCCCTGCACCTCCACTCCTGTGGTTACCATGAAAATGCAGGTTGGTGTTTATAGCTAGGAATGTTTTTTCAGTTTGAGCTACCATACCAG